GACACAGCTGTGCTTCTTTGAGGTGTTCACCAAATGACCCACAGAGTGACTTTTAATGTCAGGTATGACACCACTGTAGGCATTCCCTTTTTTGTTAGGTAGGCAATCTTTCCTGTAGACAGCGAACCTACTAGGGAATAACTCTGAACTCAGGATAGAGCTGTCCAACTATGTCTCTGTGCCTATAATAAGGTGTGGATCATCCATTTCCAGGCATGTTGTGAGCTCTGCGACTTTGCCGTTGATAAATGAATATAGCTGGTTCACGGTTGTGTTTCTTAGATATAAATTGAATTGTTACGGTTTTTTGAGCTAGTTTAACACAACATGTGGAACATATGATAGAGTCCACGATTCGATCCGGAGATCTTCATCAGGACTGACTGCCAAAATCTTAGACAAAGCTAATTCACCGGTGCCGGAAGAATCCAGGAAGCTCTGTTTATTCAACAGACTGCGAACATAAACATTGACTCTGGTGTCCACATACACCCCATTTGGCAGTAACACCTGCATGGGCATAGTTTGTCTACATTTATTTCACTTGCCTACCACACAGCTGTCGTTTATTTCCATTACTTGAGAGTTTCAGTATTTATGCCTGGCCATCTACTATTCTAGTCAGTTTGCCTTTGATACTTTTGAAATTTCAAGAAATGATTGTCTTCACGATAATGCACCAAAGATGTAGACAGTGAAGTTACAAAGTGGCCATTTTGAGGCCAACTCTAGCTGGTGCAATGCATTGTGAATCACTCTTAGTAGAAGGAATCACCCTGTTAGCCATCAAGAGACGACAGTCATCAGGGATAATGCATATGAGATAGCAACACAAAAGTCACAAAGCGGCCAGTTTGAGGTCAACTCTTGGCCAGGCTACTGCATTTTGAATTGCTCTTTGTGTAAAGACAAAGCAGTTGCTCCACTGCTCATTTTGGGAACTGGGACGGGCATAAACCGAGTGGACTTGTGACATCACAGGAGGAGAACAGGGTACCAGTGACACGACCAACTTCCTGTAGTCACCATTGTCCTCTGTGACATCATGTACAAGCCTCACAGGGCTGCGTGGGTTTCACTTTACAAGTAGCAGAGTTCAGCGTATCGTCGCCTTTTAACCCTAACAGTCCCGAATGCTACAAAGTACTACTTTGTAGTAAAATGTAGTACTCAGTCCTGTCACTTGTAAGAGGACATGATATTATTATTCTCTGAAGCCATAAAATACAATCGAGAAGACAATGTACCATACAGTGCTGTGACACAATGAATGCATGGTTTCATTGTTCTCTGTACGAGTAACAATGGAATAAACCTAGCCAGAAGTAGTAATTTGTAGCGCTAGGTCCTTCAGGCTCAGAGTTTTACTTGGTATTTTGTAGTACTGAGTACTCCAAGCCAAACCATGCCCGGTACTGTTAGGGTTAAAAAATCTCACTGTGAGTAGCCTCCAAATTGGTGACATTTCCTGTTTTCCCTCTAGGTATTGTTCAAGTGCCACACATTTCGATCTTCTAAGAAGGACGACTTGGAATCCGTACAGAGAGCTGGGTGAGTTTGCGTCAACGTGTTCCCATTTCAGCTGTCTTTAAGAATTACACTCAGATTTATGTGAAGATTGTGCTCCCTGATAAACGAGGATTTTTACAGACATCACTAATATAGTAAGGTTTTGTAAACCTGTGTTGATTAAAAGTTTTGTAATATTGTTTTAACATTTTTTTTGTGCATGAATATCAATTTCTCACCCATTGCCTCATTTCTTGAGTGGGCTATAAATTTCACATTCGGCATTACCAAAATGATGAAGTTAACTACCCAGACTGCCTCAAGGGACTGATCTGGAATTTGAAGAAAAACAATTTTGTGGACTGTGACTGATAGCCCAAGAAAATAGCAGGCAAAAGAACTTTTAAAATGCCCATGTTCACATCAAAGATCCATTTAGGCTGTGAAAAGAACTGCACTGCATGTTCCCCAATTTTTTGCTGTTTATTCCACCAGATCTCTGGCGTGGCAGGTACTGGTGGAGGCCAAGGATGCTACCGGATGCGTAGGACTACAACGTGAAGCTTGCAACACCATCATGTATGTGTTCAAGGCAAAATTGAAGATAAATTGAGAGCATCAAAGAGGGTTAAGATAGACGCGCAAAATTATATAGTTGAACTCTGACGATTGTCAGTCAGCATCTGCGGGTGGGGTGTCATGCCAGACTAATCACATACTGAACAATTGTCAAATTTCTAAAAGCAGACAAACGTGTTTTATTCCGTCTGGCACTTTGACTGTGCTCAACCGATAGCAAAGTTTGTTTATGAAGAAGTAACGTCATTCATACCTGCCAACTGTCCTGATTTAATTGGAGCTGTTCCGATTTTTTAAAGATTCCAGACCGCAAAACAGTGGAACCTTCTGATTCCCCTAAAGAGGACAGAAAAGATGAAGAAATCCGGGCAAGAAAAGGACGCTATTTGCAGAATAAAGAGGGTGCTGTTCACATGAAAAAGAGGGCGCTATTTGCTCTGTCAAAATGGCACTTGTTACACATACATACACGTCTGTACATGCACATGTGAATAGCTTCTCTCGTACGGCTGCTTGTTTTCTGTTGGCTCGTTAAATGGGTGTGCCAGTTTCTGACTTCCAATGTTGACATCGTGTCTTGCTGGTATACTTTCGAAGCCAAAACACCTTTTTTGCAGTAAACCCCACGCAGACAGGTTTCCTCCTTTGAATCATTTCACCTTGTTAAAACAAACTAAAAACAGTAGCATCTTTTATTTAGTGGCCTTAAAAATTCCACTTTTCCCCCGCAGAGCTGGCCTTACAGTCCTCTACCGTACTGAGGAAGAGCAGAATGCCCTGATGCACAAGTTACTGCTGGAAGGGGAGGCTAACCCAGCCTTAGGCAGACTCCGCGACCTCATCCTGGGGGTCATGGGTCAGCTCCTCCGGCTGGAAGGCAGTGACAGTGACCTGTCAGGAAGGTAAGACAAAGCCTTTTGAATTGAGCTCAAAGTCGCAAGAGTTGAATGAATTTTTTCTCTGATTTCTGCTCGTAGCCTGAATGACTGGCAGAATTGAATGGAAATCATCCCATAAACCGTATGGGGCATCTGACTAGGTTTATGCTTTGTCGATAATTCATGTCCAGAAAGCCGAATCCTTCTTGAGTGATTTGCTTGCGTCGTGCCTTTGGGGGCATGATCCCTGGCTGTATGGTGACTAGCACCGGTTGAACAAAGATATTGAGAAATGGGAAGAACCACCAACACAGGGCTGGGTAGCTCAATTGGTAAAGCACTGGTACAGTGTTCCGGAGGTCACCAGTTCAAATCCCACCCACTCACTTTTTTCGTCTTCATGATTAAAGCTGAACGTAGACCCTTACAGATAAATCCTTTACGTTTCGTGTCAGAGAACCTCCATCAGGAAAGGGGGGAAATGAATTGATGACACCTCCTTTAACTTCTTTTGTGAAGAATTTTAACCCCAGCTCTTAATGCCTTGACCTTGCCTAGATTGAAGGGCGATCTGGTGCAGCTCATTCTGAAGACATCCATCAAGGAGGCTTGCATTCTCATACGACGCTGTCTGCAGGCATCCAGCGAGGACTTCGAAAACATCGTCTCCAGTGTTCCCGTAAGTAAAATGTGTTTCGATTCTGGCATCTAGCTATATTACAATAAAATCTCGATAACTCAAAGTCAGTTACCTCGAAATTCCACTTAACTCGAAGAATAATTAATTCCCGCCAAAAGAATAGGCTTTTATGTACAAAAACATATCTGTAACTCGAACTGCTCACGTTGCCGGATTCGTTTACCTCGAAGTTTTTGTGTAGCAGATCCAAAAGAAACCGCCGCTAAAAAACTTCCAGAAAGTGTAAACAGAACACGGGTCAAGTTATGAATCATTTCTGACATGCACACTTTGTCTCTTCACACCGGAACACCTGCAAACATGCTATAATGATGATCGATCTAGACACGGAACCACACCGTGACCGCAAAATCCAACTTGCAGAAATTGGCCCAATTGTTACTGTGGGCCCGATAGAGCCAGTGCGTCGGCAGGCCATCTGATGGCTCTTTGCGGTGGTTGCGGCAATGCATTGTAGATCTTTGTGTATGCCACACACGCCACTCGTACGGAAGTTAAGGCCGTGTCCGAAACAGGCTTCCAGAGCTACAGCTAGGTCTATTGTCTGCGCGTCTCCACAAATTTCCAATGGAGCAAAGACCTAGGCCTAGCTCTAGACAACAGATTCGGATGCAGCCATAGTCTGGCCCAATGCTCTGGCCCAACTGCTTGCGTTGCCATGGCTGCCCAATTAGAGCCACAAACCACAGCATGCTCACACCCAGTGGACCAACCGCGTGACTGCAACGCAGAGCTTTTGTGTAGCCGAATCTCACTCCCAAAAAATAAACAAAAGTTTGAAAATAAAGAACGAAGAACAAAAAATAAAAACGGACACTAATAGCATTATTGTTTCTATGAAATTTTATTGAAGCGCAAAAAGGTACGCCCTCATGTGATGAAAAAAGTCGTTTGACTCATCGTAAACCCCGCCTGAGTACGCATGTGCAAGGCACTGCGTTGCGGTGCAAGATTCTGCGTTGTGGTGCAAGGCACTGCGTTGCGGTGCAAGGCACTGCGTTGCGGTGCAAGGCACTGCGTTGCAGTGCGGTATCAGAAATGGGACCACCTGCACAATGCGTCACATACGCACAATGCAAAAGAAAGATTTGCCACACAAAGGTATACAGTTTATATGATTTACAGTACATTATTTGTCAGCCAACAACAAAAATCATCCACAAAAATGTCTTTCTATGAACAAAAACTTGTGGCATCAAAGTATAAATAACCACAATGTCATTTCAAAAGTCATCGTAGGGAGATTTACGGTATGATACACATCGTAACAACGACTTCAGAGAAAATTTTTTTCTGTTTTAAAAAAGAAACTAGGATGGATACAGTTGTTTATTGTTTTGTACAAAAATTCCCAGCACTGTTTAAATCCCACTTAATGCGTTTCTGTGCTACTTTAGAGCATTTAAGGGCCAGATATTGCCCGGGGGAGGGTTTCACTTGCACTGACTTTTGAATGAGTTAATTTGAGTTTCAGATTTAAAACGAGGTATACCATCAGCAAGTTGCCAACAGTATTTAACTTCTGTTGATAAAGGATGCTAAAGTTTCAATTTCCAATTCCTTTTTTCTTTCAAGAAGTATTTCATTTCCACCCTCAAGATTTTTTTACTGTTTCGAAAGCGAAAAGTCCTGAGTGTTCTTGCAGGATAATTATTTTAGGCTTTTTTTTAGGTATTGAAAGTGTTGTAAGTACCTTGGTTGCACCATCTATGGTGTCACTATGTGACAATATCTGTTTCAGTCCTTGCTGTAAAGTGAAGCAGTGTTTGTGAGTTGCATTCCCCCTCTCCATCGTCACAGATTGCCTCCCCCTGTTTGCAATATATGATGGCCCTGCAAATCAAGCTGTTGCGCGATGGAGCCCTATGCAAGCCCAAGGCAGAGGAAGGTACCACTCCTACAGCAGGGAAGTCCTCGCCCAGCCTAGAGGACCTTCAGCAGTCCATCCTCAATCTTGCCTCCAGTGTGTTCAAAGGATGTAATGAGGTATATCCATGCTTCAAATAATTCTTTACAAATTTCTACCTTTCAGTCAGTTGTCTATTCGCCAGTGTTTTGAAAGATTATCTTGAAATGATAATGCAGTTTTTTCCAAATTTTTTTTTCCAGAGGTAGCAGAAACTCATGTATAAAGAAGAATGTGCAGTGTGAAATTTGAACTGTAGTTGGTCACTAAAATCACCTGGCGACTTTTTGTTTTTGTTTTATTTTGAAAGAAATTTCAGAATGCTCACTTTCTTCCCCATTCAAGGTTATTCAAACTTGTAGTCCGATAAGATATCCCATAAATCCCTTTCCTTGCCATTGCATCAAGAAAATATGCTCTGGAAGTTTGAATATCCGATGCGGTTTTTCACTTTGAATGCAGTTTTCATGAGGCATATACACATACCTTTCCATATGTGCGTCAACACTTGTACCAAGCATTGCGTATCCATCAAAATTGCTCCTGGGGCAATTCTGATGGCTGAACACGTTGCACACGTGTGCTATGTTGATGGAGTCGATTTTTGTGCCCATGAAAGTGAAACGCATCATATACGCATCATATACGCAGCGCACCCAAAAAACGTGCATATGGAAAGGCGCCTGTCATCACTTTTTGTCAGAATGTGCACAAACCTGCAGTGTCTGCATGCAGGAGTTGTGTGCTTGAAAGCAGGGGTGTTGATATATTGCATCACTCTTTCTGTTACTGTTTCTGGGAACTTGTTTGCTCAGACCACGGGAACACAGATAATGCTCAAGAGTCCCTTGAAGTTAAGGTTGCATCTTAAATGTCAATGACCAGTCATTTCTTGACATTTTTTTCCAGGTCTTGGAGTCTCTGGTGCAAGTCTGCCAGTCCATCATCACTGCCTCACCCGTGGCAGACTGGGACAGCCGCTTCCAAGGTCTGGAGCGTGTGGTCAAGGGCACGGTCCTTGGCCATCTACTGCCGGTACTTATCACGGCGTTGACTCACGAGAACCTACAGAGTCTGTCGCTCGCCGAAGCACTTATCCCACAAGTGGTGCAACTGATCATACTCACCAGTCAGGTGAGTATCAATTTCAAGGAAAACATTTCAGAAAATGAGTACTTTCGAGCTATCAACTCAAGTCTCTTGACTGATTAATTATGAACAACTCAGCATGAGAAACCTTCATGGTGATGCTGTCGTCTTGTTAAAAATGAAAATATTCGTATAATTTGACATCTGGTTATTGTGGTGGACAGCTCAAGACCAAGTTTTTGTCTCCAATAAAATTTCTTGACCATAATACAAATCTGTCAGACCATGTTGAAACCTGCATCCTCAGTATGATCTAGGATGTCACGACGTATTTCCTTGCATCCTTTTCAGTGTCAGTGAGTCGTCACCCACAAAATGTTTTCCTTGTTTTCATTCTTAAATCGCTCAACTTCCATTTACTGAACTACCGACATTTTTTGGAAAG